CCCACCCCCGCCACCGCACCACCGGCAACGCAACCCCGGCACCGCGGGCCGCCAGCCCGTCCCCGCACCCGCCAAAGGGGGTCCGCGCCCCCGGGGGGGACCCCATGCCGGGGCATTTTCTGCACGACCGTATATTTGAAAACAAAACAGCTCCCTAGGTTGAATTCGAATCAACGACCCAATAAATAGGATACGTAGTGTGTGTAATCTGATTAAGCTTCCCTTTGTAACTTAGTTGAATCATGAAGGTAGTCTCTTATTATAGTGTTGGATCCTGAGTCTTTATAGTTTTGTCTTTTGTTTTCAAACTCGCAACGAAGTTTCCTTGACTTGGGCCTCTCTTGTGATTCACAAATGGATTGCTTTATTTTTCAGAATCTCTGTTTTTAACCTCAAATCCTTTTCTTCGAATTTCCTTTTTAAGCACCGATTCGGGAAAAAAAATTCAACCCTGTACTACAAGATCCCGTATTGGCTATACATCCTCCTTGTGAGTATGTGCCTGAATTCAGATGCAGTGCAGAAGGTTTTTAAATTTAAAAAACTTGTTATGTTCTCCCGATATGTTGTCTTCCCTTCTCATCTTCCTCTCTTTCTTTTTGTGTTTTGCCTGCCCCTTCCTTTTTTCTTCTTCCTAATTTGGACCATTTGTCGGCTTTGCGTGCCTTTTGCATATTATCTTTGCTGACGATTAAGTGACTTTATCGTTCATTCTAGTGAATATCGGTCATAGTGCATGATTTCGTAAAATCGACTCACAATCAATTGCCCCCATCCATCCGGAGAGATCGTCTTATGTGTTCGCATCTGGATTCGAACTCAGGTTTGCATTTCAAGAGTTTATGGGCGCACCAACTGACCTACTAGGCCAATTGCTATGCGGAGACATCTTGATGGTACTCGACTGTGTTGGCTTGTTTTATTGCATGTCGGTTCGTTTTTCTGTGAGATCGAGCGGTGACCTGTACCCCTCTGAGCCCTCTTCCGATTGCACTGGAGGGACAGGATTCATGGTTGGGGAGTTGGAACTTGTGAACTTTAGATACTTACTGGGACCTCAATTTCCATGAGGCAAGCAATGGTCAGGTGCAGGACTCAGGGCACATCATGGGGGAAAAAAAAAAGAAGCGAGGGCCACACGCTGCCCGTGTCACCGTGTGTGTTGGTGAACGGTTCACCAGCCCTCCAAAGATTTCCCTGGGTCTCTGGTGCTGCTGCTCAACCAAATATTTGGAGGGTTGGTAGGTACTCAATCCATCTGTGCTGGTGGAGTGCCTACTGAGTGTCTAGTCTTTTCTTGAGGCAGGTGCATGAGGTGTCGCTGCCCTCAAAAGAACCCGGAGGGTGTTTAGACCCTCCATGAGGTACTGTCGAGGGGAACCTAGCGGTTTGCATGGCATTGTGGATTGAGATGGCCCACAGTGGTGCTGCAGACACACACATGCGCGCACACACACACACACACTGCACACAC